AAGTGAGGCACTAGATTTGCAACCAAGCATACGGCTCCCAGGTTGCCATAGTAAAGTATTGGTGGGTTTGGTAAATAGACACATAGTTCACAAAGTAAGAATTGGAGCCATACGAGGTCACAAGTTGTAAGGGCAAGGCTTTTATATTCAACTTCAGTTAATGAATGTGCCACAATTAGTTACTTTTTGGAGTTTTAGAAATGAGATTTAGATTAAAAAAGACACAGTAGCCATGTGTAAATCATCTATCATTAGAATAACTAGCCTAGTCAACATCTAAATATGCAGTTAGTGAGCCAAAAGGGTTTTTTGTGAATAAGGACAACATAGTCAATGGTGTTTTTCAAGTAACGTAGTATGCTCTTTACTTTAATCTAGTGAATTTCAAAAGGCTTGTAGAGGAATTGGCAGACTTTATTAACAGCAAAGGATATATCAAGTTTAGTAAAGGAAAGGTATTGGAGGCTGTCTATAACACTTTAGTATAGATAGACATTAGAGTAAGGAGAACCTTCTTTAGTAAGAAGGGGTGCTTTGGAGGCCATTGGAGTTTTTACTGGTTTATAATGCTACATATTGATCTTTTAAAAAAGATATGGGTGTATTTTCTTTGGGAGAGAAAGAAGCCATTGGTAATGGATTAGGCTTCAATGCCAAGAAAGTAATTGATATTACCTACATCATTAACAAGAAAATAGGAGCCATGATGAGATTAAGAACAAATGTGGAATTGGAACTAATTAAGATTAAAATGTAAGCACAAAAGGTACCATTATGGTGAATAAAAAGTGATATGTCTTACTTAGAGGGGATGAATTTGAGAGTAGTAAGACAAGAGTTGAGGTGAACAAACCATGCTCAGGGTGCTTGCTCAACGCTATAGATGAAGCAATAGAATTTGCTGACATAGTGAGGATAGTCAGGGTGTTTGAAACTAAGTAGTTGTTGTATGTAAATATCTTTAGAAAGATAGATAGGGAGGAATGCATTTAGATGACTATTTGGCAAATAGCCCAGTTGAAGGAGATAATGAGGGAAAAGATTAGGTATATGATGGGAGGTTTGATAATAGGGGAGAATGTTTTAGTATAGTCAATTCCATATAATTGATGAAAGCCTTTAGTGACCAGTCAAGCTTTGAATTTGTCAAGAAGCTATCTAGTTTGAATTTTTTAAGGAAGGTCCATTTGCATCCCACCATATTGCCTGAGGGTAAGGGTAAGGGTAAGATAAGGGTCCAAGTATTGTTGTTGGTGAGAGCTTAGAGCTCATCAGGCACGATAGAATGCCATTAACGTTGGTGTAAAGTAGAAGTTGCAGAAGTGGGTAGCTTGAGGTTCAAGGCTAGTGTGGCAATGTATACTTGGGGTAGGGGCCAACAAATAGTGCCATCGATAAATTTCTTAAGTTTGAGTGAGTTGATTTGGGAATGTGAGGCCATGCATAAGGGAGGGACAAGTAGAATTAGAGGTTGAATGTCATGTTGCAGAGGTAACGGCTAAGCAAGTAAAGAGGTTGAAGAAGATAAGGAAGAGGATACTATAGTTAGAGTCTAAGGGCATGATGTGTTTGTGGACTTAAGAAGGGGATAGTAGGCCTTGCTAAGTATTGGGCCGAGGAGGGGGAATTAGGTTTAATTATAGTATGGTAAAGGAGCGAAGTATAGTATGGCCAAAAGAGGGCTAAGTATGGGCCGGGAGGGGAAAATGAGTTCTTAAGAATTGGGCTTCATCAAAATGAACATCTCTAAACATATATGTGTTTGATTGGATTTGGACTCAAGATAAAGGTAACCATAGTAATCAAGTACATGACCAAGGAAGATGTAGAGGGTAGACAAAAGGTCTAATTTATGGTGATTGTAGGGACGTAGATTGGGCAGGCATAATTGAAGACTCAAAGGAAGGAATAATTTGAAGAGGAGTTCAAAAGGTGATTTATTGCGGAGGGAGGGTGATGGTAAGCAACTGATGAGATAGATTGCAATAGAGAAAGAGTGAATCCATAGTTTTTAGGGTAAGGAAGCATGACGAAGAAGAGAGAGGCTAAATTCAACTATGTAGTGGTGTTTACATTTGACAATGTTACTGTAAGCATACGAGTGTAGGCAAGTTGTTCTATTAATTATGCCTTAAGAGAAAACATCTTTATAAAGTGCTTGAAATTCTTCACCTCTATCAATTTGGAGGAATTTTATTTTATTATTAAATAAGTTTTAAACTTGTTTTTAAAATGGAATAAAGGCTTGGGACACATTAAATTTTAACTTAAGACGATAAAATCATGTAAATTTGGTGAAATTATCTATAAATAAGACATACTAGCGATATCCAATATGAGACAAAATTAAGGCTGGGCCCTATACATCATTAAAAACTAGAAAAAGGGGTAGTAGAGTGGTAGTGGGTCAAATGATTTTTAAAGTTGTTACAGGCAGAGCATGACATAGAAAACTTAATAATGTGAGTGGGAGAGAATACTTTGACTGAACATGATGTATGATGTGATATGCTGGGTGATTAAGTATAGCATGCCACTGGTCTTTTAAAGCTTTGACACCTAAATGAGCAAAGAGAGAGTTGATGGATGGATATAGGTGATTTCTAGTTGGTCCTTTAAGAAGCACCTTCTTGTTCGACAATCCTTCACAAGAAAATAAGAGTCATAAAATTTTAGATAAATATTATTGTCATGAAAAAAATGCCAAATAGAGATTAAATTCTTAAAGATATTTGGAACATGAAGAAGGTCAAAGAGAAGATATGAACGAGAAGCTAGTAAGAGATAAGCCTAGGCTTGATGACAATGGGCATGTACAAGCCATTACTTATTTGGATAGAGTCCCGATTAGTATAGGATTAGGAATAACAAAAATGCCAAATAGAGATTAAATTTTTAAAGATGCTTGGAACATGAAGAATGTCAAAGAGAAGATATGAACAAGAAGCTAGTAAGAGATAAGCTTAGCCTTGATGACAATGGGTATATGTAAGCCATTACTTATGTGGACAAAGTCTCAATTAGTATAGGATTAGGAATGAAGGTTGAGGTTAGATAGATCAAAGGTTATGTGATTAGTAGCCCCTGTGTCAAAGTACCAGGCATCATTAAGTAGGAAGGAAAAGGAAGCGTGATGTGCTGTAATGAGAGAGTGAGGGGGTGGTGCTTGGGATGAGTAGTCAAGATAGGGGTGGCATGTGTGAATGTTGTGACTAAATTTTTTTCATAGTTTACATTTAGGTTTGTTCGAGTCAGTGAAGATAGAGGGGGAGGGGAAAGGGTAAGGTAGGGAGTAAGGGTTAGACATTAAAGTTAGCAGTTATATCTATATGGGTATAGGATTACTGTGTTAGAGAGGAGCTTCCTACAGGAAGAGATAGCTAAGAACATCTCCAAGAGTGAGGTTATATGTATGTGTGATGATGGATTCATAGTTGAAAGCTAAGCCATTGAAAAGATAGATGACAAAGTCAATGTCCTTTACAAAGTGACCTATAATCCTGAGATAGATTCATTTTCTTTTTTTTTAGTGAGGTGATTTATTAATGTAAGTGAAGAAATTGTGCTTGGGATTTTGGTATAAAGACACTCAAGAATGCCACATAATGTTAGCCACCTTATTAAGTATCACCTATCTAATAATGGACCCAAAAAAGGAAGAGATGATGACAGACAAAACAAGTTTGTCTTGATTGAACCAATTTTGAATTCAAGATTGAGTTCGCTAGAAGGGAGATATTAGGGGGAGGAAGATAATAGCCAGCGATAAAGGGGTAGAGGTTTTGGCCATAGAGTTAATGAAGCATCTTTCCATATGGTGTAGTTGTCTTGGTTAAGTAGAGAGGGGGAGGAAGAAAAGGAAGATTGTGTGGGAAGCAGAGAACCTATAAAAGGAGGATCGTTGGAGCCCAATAAGGCATTTTATTAAGGCATGTTGTAGATAAGGCTCTAATACTAGAAAGAGGTATAGAGACCTTAAAAGCATTAATTGCGGAAAATATTCATTGATTCCATTGATATGCTTGATACAATGACTACTATAAACACTGTGTAGAAGACAAAATGTCACGTGATATGTGATATCATGAGGACATGTACTTTAGAGAGTAAGCGATACTCCCTCCAAATCGTAATATACGGCATCATCTAAAAATCTTATTTGATTTAAAATATAGGACATTGAATAGGTTTTATAAATGTTTTTTAATTATATTCCTACTTTATTTATCACTCTTCTTGAAAAAATAATGTATTAAAATTTTAATCATCGTTATCAAAATACTTATATAAAGTATTTAATGGTGGTAAAATTAAAAAGATGTAAATTTAAAAAATTAAAGTTTTAATTAATATTTTTTAAAAAATTATGAATTAGTTATCAATATCTTATATTTTGGTCTGAAAGGAGTATTACATACTCGCTTTATATAATAAAAAAAATTATATCACACAGTTTAAGAAAGTTAGTTAACTATAATAACTATGTCTAAAAATAAAATAATTGGACTAAAATACCCTATGTTAATCAACATAAACATGCATTAATTATTTATCGTTCATGTGAATTATGATGGGTGATTTAAAAAATGTGTAATAAATATTTATTGAAATAGATAATTTACTTATATAAAAAAAAAATATAAAGTGATAGTTTTTCTTACAAATAAAAACGTCTAAAAATAAAACAATTGAACTAAAATACCCTATGTTAATCAACATAAATATGCATTAATTATTTATCGTTTATGTGAATTATGATGGATGATTTAAAAAATATGTAATAAATATTTATTAAAATAGATAATTTTACTTATATAAAAAAATAAATATAAAGTGATCGTTTTTTTTATAAATAAAAACGAAAAGGGTGGTGGGCTAAATTAAATGTTATTTGGATTTGGTGCGAATGGGCTTGTGAAATAGTATGACTTTGTATCAAAAAACAGAAAAAAACAAAAACAAAAAAACAAAAGTATGACGTAGTCCAACAGCAGACTAACTGGCAAGCAAATGTCACACTCGATTATATCTTTAAATGTTAAATACACAAAAGAATTATGAGACGGGTAAAAAACGGGGAAAAAATGAGCATTCACAACAACATACACCCCACAACCCAGACACAAAGAATCATGGTCTAAAACACAGATGGAACAACATGAGTAGTAGCAACTCCAGCAGCGCCTCTATTTAAAGCTCTCTCTAACCTTGTCTCAAATGGGGTTGAATGCCAATTCACCTTCTTATCCTGCACAAGCAGTCAAATCCAAATCAGAATCCAGACTAAGGCAATGCATAATCTTCCTCAGGTTTCACTTCAGCTTTACCTCTCTGTACTTGCTTGTGGTGTTAGGAATTCCTTTAAAGGAAGAGACAGAGCCAGAATCCTGAACAGAGCCCGAGTGACTCCAGTATGTCCCTACAGTCCCTATAATGGGCATCTCATCCGGACTCTTACTTGGTGACTTCCTTGGTGAATTGGAAGCTGAAAACTGCTTAATCTCCTCAACTGTTAATGCACCCAAAATGGGTCTATCTTCATGGCTAATTACTGAACCTTGTGAGGTGCTCCTGTCAGGGGTACCCGCATACAAAGCAACTGAACTAGACTCGTTAACTGGTGTTGTTTCTGATGAAACCAACCAATTTGAAAGGCTAGTATCAACTGCGATTTCCTGCTTCGATTTCTTCCAAGAGTCAATTCCTACAGATCGTTCCTTGAAGGTGGGTTCTGAACTGAAAGGAATCTGGTACTCTTGATTGGAATTGGAATTGGAATTCTCTTTCAGAGGGATTGATGGCTGTGTTCTTTTGGCTTTAACAACTTTCCATTGAGTGAGATTTTCTACGGGGTTCAGCACTGGATGAACAAAAACACTTCTATCCCGAGCATTAGGGTTGGTCACCATTGGCTTTGCTTCGCTCTCACACAAAGCACCGCTTGGGATTGGACTCTTCATCTCTTCAGCAGCCATATGAGCAGCAGAAGTTCTGGCCTTTGTGTATTCAATCTCATCGTCGAAGTCGTCGCCGAATTCTTCTCCCATGTCGCTGTCTTCATCACTAAGGTCACTAACCCCGCAATCCATTTCTTCATCTTCCTCATCGCTTTCTCTGCAATTTTGGTATCTTCTATTCGGAGGACAAGATCCTGTTGAAGTCACCGAACTAGCGTACGAGGAAGACTTCGATTGGCTTGATTTCACCAAAGCTTCTTCCTTATTCACACCTTGTTCACTCTTCTCCAAGTGAAGCTCCGTAGCTTCATCTGGCAAAGCCGGCTCGTAGGTTTTCACATTAGAATCAAATGTGACTTTCTTCCTCCTACTGAAGCTTGACTGCTCCTCAGGCTTGCGATCCCTAAATTCAAAACCAATTTATCCCTATCATAAAAGCTTGAGAGAAAAGAAATCAACCAAGATGACGGACAGAAGGGGAAAGGCATGTAGAATGAACTCAAAACTGAAACTGCTTACTGGACTTTTGATGTTGCTGCTGATTGTGACGGGTTTGGAGTGATCCTGTCCTGAAGTGACACAAGATTGCTCTGGCTTGCTAGTTGTACCCCGCTGTAACCGTCAGCATTCATGTTTTAATATTATGATGACGGGAGGAAAATTATTGAAAAACATGGCCAGAACAGAACAACCAATAGGGCAAGCACAATAATCAATCCCCAACGTCACAATAACCAGTTTCTGTCACGCTAATTTACAAGCAAACAATTAAAAAGCGTAGCGAAGCTTGAAGAAGATGAAAGAGGTTCTTACATGGTCAGAGTCAAGAGGCGGAACCTTGCGCCTCTGTTTTCTGCGTTTGGCATCTTTAGATGAGCCAAAACACGCAAGAAAACAGCCCATGGCAGATCTCTTAGGGTTTCAGTTTCAGCGAGTCCGAGTGAGCAATGTGAGAATTCAGAAGAGGAAGGCTTCGCTAGAAGGTTGCGTCATGTTGTGAAATAGAACATTGTGGGAAAAGAAGCAGAGGAAGAGAAGCGGGGCGATGGGGAGCGTGGGTTTGGGGAAAGTGTTCGTTTTGTGTGACGTTGGTAGGGACAAAAAACGGTCAAGAAACTTTCGAAGGCTCCGTTTTTTTATAATTATTGTTTAATTTTCTTATTGAAAAAGATGTAAGTGACCGTTATACGAATGATTGTTGATCCCAGCCTGTAATTTGCAATTTCGTTTTATTTTTTAATTGTGTAATATCGTCAAAGACAGGTCCGTGTCACGTCATCAACAGTTAAACCCGAACCATAATCTTAGCGGGCCCCACTCAGTCCTGCCATCTGGCTACAACTACAGTATCTACCAGCGCCCTTTTGTTTTTTGGCCAATGCCTGCTAACACTAGAATCAGAAGGAAATAAAAGCAAGAAAGGAAAAATCATTGGGGTGAGAGAGGCTCGAACTCTCGACCTCAGGATAACTCAGAAGCTATGAGACCTACGCGCTAGCCAACTGCGCCACCACCCCATTGGTTGAGGGATGGTAAATAGAAGAAAGTTACGCAATCTATCGAACAAAAAAGAAAAGGACCAACTTCATCTGGGAGTCAATAGGCAACACAATAATATGTTTTGTAATTTGATTAACTTTAATATCATTTTCTCTTTTAATGTATTCAAGATCAACAGTCCAATCACGTTAAAACAAATTATAACATTTTGAGATCAAAGCCTAGTGAAAATGAGATTCATCATTTACGTCCTTTATCAAATTCAAAACTTCCATTGAGGCACTTCTCAAACTCTCATGTTCTCCTTTGGAGGCAAATACGGGTCAATTTGCTTCAAAAGCTTCAAACATGATTGTCATAATTTCTTTTAACTAGTGCACAGGGAAAGGTTTATGTAAAAATGTTTGTCAAAAATTACTGTTTACTCTGAAGAAACTTTATCAACTGTTTATTAAAAGAAATTTGTTCATGTGTACATTTATTTATGTGGTTAGAATTTGTATTCAACTCCAAAGTTGTTATATTAAATCTTTTACAAGCAGATGTAATTTTAATTTTATAGTTTTTTTTTTGTGTTTGTATGTTTTTTTTTTTGGTAAAATAGAATGGTTCAATAGTAAATGTAATGTTGATTTTGCTTCACAAAGAGGAACCATGTATTGTCTACTGTAAATACCATCAGATAGTTCTCAACTCTTTTTAAATTTTTTAATGGTAAATAAAAAATAAAAGATTATCAATATTTTATAATAGAAAAAGGTTAGTTTGGGAGTCAAAAGGAAAATAAGTGGTAAATATGAAAACTAATACTAAAAAATAATTGAATTGGGTCATAGTAGAAAGTATCTTCTGAAAATGTTACTAAATTTAAAATATACAGCATTGATTATTGTTATAATAACTTTTTAATTATACTCTAACTTTATTTATTATACTTTTTAGAGTAATGATTTTTAAAATTTCAAATGATATATTAAAACACATATATAGAATATTAAAACTTCAATTAAATTTTTTGAAAATTACTAAGAGTTAATATGTTGTGCAATGCAAGGATATAAAAATCTAATTGTGGATAATGCATCGATTTAAAAGCTCGAAGCACCATGCATCATATTCGAGTGGACAAATGAATTTGGAGTTAATGGATATGTGTATGTGTTGGTTGCCCAAGAAGTCACATATAACTAATGGGCTTGTCCAAAGGTAAGGTTTAGTAAATACAGAGTACAAGGTTGGAAATGTTTAAATAAGGCAATGTAGCCAGAGAAAGCATTTTATTAGTACAATGACATTGAGGTGAAACAAAAAAATCGGAACAGGTAAAAAGAAAATATTAACTGGCATAGACATTCCGCCAATCCATCCCACCCAGCTCCAAAACTTTTTATTTTAAATTTTAAAGAAGCCCACGTGTGATGCAGCAGTCAATCCACAGTCAAACTTAAGCAATAAAGTAAAATATAAGATGGAAAAAGAAAAAGGAAAAAAAAAAAAAACAAACAAACGTAGCAGCTTACATGGGAATAATAAGTAAAATATACTCAGACGGGGAAGTACGGTTCATACACTATTCACAGGAGGATCCCAAATTTATATGTATAGATTGCCCTAAATTAAATGTTAAAAAATTAAAAACTCATGAAACTAATAAAGTAAACAAAGTCGAATATATCAAAACATCAAGGCAAAGAACCTTGAAAATGAAATACTATGCATAAAGATTACCCATAACAAGATTGCTTTTATGTGCTTAACATATTCATTCCTGCTTTCCATGCTTCCAAAAAGTGGAGAATAAGGAATATCTTAACATTTTAGCCATAGTCGAAGAGCAAAACTAACTCATGCTCACAGGAGACACTATGATCCAGAATATATCATTAAACAATATACCACTCATAACTAAGTTATGGTACAAAATACATTTGAAACCTGTACACAAGCTTTTCACTGGACACAACAGCTTGCTAATTTAGTCCATACAATTGGGAATCGCCTGCCTATATGAAATCTAATCTAACTAATAAAAGGCTGTAACTTGCATGCAGCAATTGACTCCAAAATCCACGTGTGACCAACGACTTGTGAACCAGTGGCAGCAGCTAAATCCTCTGCCTCGTTTAACCTCTCCCAAAGAATTGTAACTTCGTCCCCCAACCTACTTCCTTGTGGGGGATCAAGATTGTAAACAATCAGCTTTGAGGTCTCCTTGCCTTCATGAGCTTCTGTTTGCAATTCTTCCTTGCTCTCCAAAACAGTACCTCCTCCTGCCACAACCAAGTCTACAAGATCCTCCTTATAATCTGACATGTAATCTCCAGAAAAGTACATTCTAAAGCCGCAAAATAGCTTGGGCGCCTGTAATCATCACAGATTATTGGTATAAAACTAGGATATTTATCAAGTAATTTAACACCCAATAGCATCCATAAAACCCTCCAAATATGGTTGAGCAGTCGTAAACTAGAAAATGTGCGCCATGCAAACCATGTGGAAAATAGGGAGCAATGAAAAAACATTTACACTGGCCAATGCCCTAAGCCTGCCAGCTTTTGCGCCACCTTGACACCCATGGTTATCAAGACATATTTCATATGGCTCTTCCTCCACTGGACACGCCATCTCCATGCTTGCAGTAACCCCTACAGAAATAATAGATGGCATAAAAATCAATTAGGATATACATGAGAATTAAGAATCATGTAGAAACATAATGCATGGAACTTAAGCATGCATGAAAAACATAGCAATGGTAGTTACATAATAGGGTTGTTGAGCACAGATTAAAATGAGAAGTAATAATTAGGGCCTGTAGCACCAAAATTAAGTTTTATGATACAGTTTGGGACTACTTAAAGCATATTACACACTAGTCGCTGCATGTTTAAGACGTGATATATACCGTATGACATTACATGAAAAAACCTGAAACTTACAGTCCATTTTAAGGATCCACTGGCCATTTAAAATGCCCATAAGAACTTTAAGTGTCCTGGCACACGCTCCATTTGAATCAGTTGCTGCAATCACGTGTGTCACATCTGGCGTCCAAAACTTGGTAACAGTTGCACCGATCCTACTTGCAAAATTGATCAAACGTATCTGAATTGAAAGGGGTGGAAAAGGATATCCGCAGTCAATCATGATGTAAAACAATACAAAATGATGCTCCCATGCACTTGCCATAATAAAAGGTCAAAAGCTGGTGTAGGGCTTTCAACAAAGTCATATAAATATTAAAAAAAAATAATATGGTGGAAATGATAAAAAGCTAAAAGCAAAACAAGACAAGCTAAGTGATGCCAGCTTCCAGAGAAATATAAAATATTTCAAATAAGACATTTTCACTTTTCTTAACCATATTGAGTCTCATATCAGAAGCTTATGTCATGTACTTTAACAATCATATCTTCAATATGTTTTTTTTTTTTTTGGGCGGGGGGGGGGGGGACCATGCTTCAAATCCATCTACTTTTGCAACAAAATACCAGTCAAAATGCAACAAGGTCCCAAGAAGGTAAATGAGAAAATAAAATGCAGACAACAAAAAATAAAAAAGAATGTCGGGGGTGTGTGTGTGTATTAACCTTTTCATCTGTAGACAGAGCAGATCCACAGAAAACCAAATGTTTACTATCATCTGACAAAACTACTGGGGGCTTTGACAGCTTAGGTGTCCTACACGTAAAATGAAACATTAGCTCAGTACCAAATAAAATGTCTGAAAAAATGACATCACACAAACAACTAAAATCAAGGTTAAGCAGTATCAGAATGACAGAATCATTAATCAATTGCCAACTGAAATAGCAGATAACAGAATTACAAACACACAAATTTGATGACGCAGGATGCTTCTTTTGGGAGCCCTGTTTCTCAGAACTGGATTTCTCACATGGAAATTTGACGTGAGAATGAGCTGAACAGAGCATAAGATATTCCTCCTGGACATAGAATAAACCTATGTTTTAGATCAATCTATTGGAAGTCTGTTGAAAATAATGTAATCCCAATTAATAACCCAAAAAAAAAAAAGAGAGAGAAGTAAGATACATCATCCCATCGGCAAGCTGAGATTTCCATTGCACAAGGAACATGATAAGTTTTCCTACAGGATTTAACATAGCATCCAAGAGCAGCCCCCTTGAGGCCGCATTTGCTGCATTTTAGCTTGGCTCCCCTTGCCACTTCTGCCTTCAAATTTTTAACGGTTTCACCAATAAAATACACCTGAGGTGACCTGGATTTTTGAGGTTTATAGGATAATTATTTTCCTGATACAAGAGACTAGCTATCATAATGTTCAAATTTATATGATGAAATTGATCCATAAGACATCAATAGCATACCATTCAATGCAAAGTTTATGTACATGTATGACATTTGGTTGGAGCGCCGCAACTCCCGTTAACAAATTTCCATTTTTATAATGCAACACTGGCCCAGTAACCTAAACATTTTTAACAATATAGTTACATAATGCATAATAAAAAACACTCTGAGAGAATAGCATACTTTAGAGGATAGAGGGGGCAGACAGGCAGTGTCATGTAGAAATCATGTATATTACCTCTGAGGTTCTAGAAGACTGGCAAAAAGAACACACATTTGCATTTGAACATGAATTCAGGTCCATTCCACATTTAGGGTCCATATTACATTCAGAAGCCATGGGTTTGGTTTGATGGGTTACATTAGGTTGAATGCCATCATTGCCATTTTTAGGCCTCTTGGAGTCCCTCACAATACCCTCTGTTTCAGAGGCAGAGCTTTCAGACCGCAACTGGATCCGTTTGTCCAATATTTCATTTTCTTTGCTTGTTCTCTTTGATGAAGAACTTTCTAATATCTCAACAGGCATGTGCTGAAAAAGGAGAAAAAAAAATCGCTGGTTATTTCAAGAAGATAAATCAAAGCATGCAACATGCTCATGATACAAATTGCTACAAGTGTACAGAAAGTTAAGGAGGATGAATTTAAAAATTAGAAAACCATTACTTCAAATATTCTTTGGAGCAGTCTAAAACCCTCTTAATCTCATAACTAGTCAGTATGTACGATTATGTAATCATATAAAGCTCGAATGATGATGCATCTAGTCACAACTGCCACTACAAAGATCATATAATTCAAGAATTTCGGAGCTGGTGATTACTTTGACAACATAGTCCTTAAAGTCCCTAATTTTGGCCAAAGCATGAGAAAAGGGCATGAATTGAAGACTGAAGGATACCAAAAATGTAAAGCTGCTTTAAAGTGGCTCAAAAATTATCTTTGATGGCATCTTAGTTTCTTACATGTTCACTATCCTGGTCGCTGCAGTCATTGTCTGACCCTTTTGTATCACAAAATGGAGGGCTGTCTGGTGAAGATTGAGTGACTTGATTTATGTCCATTTCAACAAGCCCACAATCTTCATGGGCCCTTCCATCCAGTTGGGAACTTTTAATCAGAATCTCTTCCTTGCAAGAAACCTCAAAATCCTTATCTTTACCATGCACCACATTACCACTCTTCTCATATTTGTGATTCTTGCCAATATCAACTTCCATAGAATGGTCTAAACTGAAAGGACCCTTAACACATTCAGCCATTGTTTGTGAAAATACTGACTGCTCCCGATGTAGGTTATCTCCTAGAGATGTTTTGCATGGTTCCTTGAACGTTTTATAATTAGAAGTCCCATTCAACAATGTTTCACACCGCTCCAAAACTGGCAGCTCATCTATAATCATCAATAGACAGAAGCAACATAAAATGGTAAAAAAGTAATTAAATAAATTTCAACAGACTACAAGTTTTCCAATCCAAAACAAAACAGCTATACCAGAAGAATGATGCTGAGATAGATTGGCATGAAAGGCAGCATCCAGGCTTCTATATATTGCAACCATGTTTTCAATAGGCAGAGACCTCAAATCTGACATCCACAATTAATTGAAAGGGGAAAAAAAATAAGTTCTGCAAATACAAAACTTTTTTTAGCTTCCTTTATTTTCTTTTTTATTAGGAGACAGAAATGTTTTGAGCATACCCCAAAAATAAAACGGAAAGTGCAGTAAAGTTCTGGCAAACCAAAGTCAGTTTGCATGAACCATGAAATTACCAAACTCACTCTCCCTGGCAGCACAGAACTGGGAAATGAACTGAATGGGAAAGGATAACGACTTGAAAAGGAAAGATCCAACAGTAAAAGCAACAACAATAGAAGTCAACTTTCCCCCCAACATTTGAACTGGACGAAGTAATGACATCCTCTCTGAACAGATATATAATTGAAAATAGAGCTCGCATCTGGAGCTTTAAGATTTCACACAGCAGCATGAATGGTACTTTGGCAACAGATGCTAAATTAGATCAAAACTAACCTCTTTGAGCATAATGATTATTACAGACAGCACATACTGAACTACGCCTTGAGCGATCAGCTAAGCAGGAGCTGCAAGGTTATGTTACAAATTGAAACACCTGAAATAAAAAAAAAAAATTGGAAATAAAATGTATGATGAAGACTAGGAGGAAGAAACAAACCAGCAGAATATGTGGCTGCATGGAAGTAACATCGGCTTTTTGAACAAGTTTAAACTGCAAGGTCAACAAGAGCAAGAGCTAAGAATCAGGAATCTTCTGTTTGGTTTGCAGGTAAGACAAAAAAGGCAGATCTAACTTGAGATTTTCTCGAAGGGAAATAGGAAACAGCACTTTAACCCCCCCCCGGGGCACGCATTCAAAAGCTTGAGTTCAGAACAAATTGTCTTAAAGGACCAGAAACGAAAAGAAAATAAAATGAGAACCAAATCCAAAACTCCATATTCTGGCCTCTTTCACAGAAGCAACCTCGATTTCAGAAAGAAGGCAGTAATTTCTCACATCGAAACTAGCAGTTGAAGAAATATAACCGATTCTTCAAAGACAACATTGCAAGGCATCTCAAGACTAAAACAGACACATGCTGACATAGCTCAAACAACGTTTCTTGTCTACAAGGCCCAGCACCGGGCACAGATCGTCTTGAGCAACTTTTCCCAAATTTTCTCATCCAAAAAGGATGATAGCAGAAGAAATAATACAGACAAGCAGAGAGGGCACGGGAAGAAATTAAAAGAGAGTCCAAGTCAAGAGGATCACAAACCAGAGAGGGCACTTGAGTTCAAGACCCATTTTCTGGAACTGAAGCATCCACGGGTTCAAGAATTTACTGTTGTTGCTATGCTTTCCAGAGCCCTCCATTGCCGTATCGGAGAAGAATTCGAGCCCCAAACAAACACTGACACAGATGATCGTTCCAGCAACGTCTAGTCACTACAGTGAGCAAATGATTTATCTGAGGCCACGGTCTCATCAAAAGAGACGCGATTTAAAGGCGGTGTGAGAGTGGACGGCTGAGATTTCGTCTTCGCATGAGAGAGTGGCGCGATAACCAATTTAATTGGCGCAACTATGTTGTTTGAAGTCCGCGCCCTCATTTTGGGTTTTTCTTAGCTTTTCGGTTTTCAGACTTCACCCTCAGGACGAAATTCCCGCTCCCGCCTGGCGCTTGCGGAGCCACACTTGGTTCCTTTCTACGAGGTTGCGTTGCGGTTGTTATACTTACGGCGCGCAGGTGGATTTAACTTTAATTAATTAGAAATTTCATCTCAATTCAATTTACAATTTCCAATCAAAATTAAACTGAATAAAATTAAGGAAAAATTACGGAAATGAATCTAATATTACTAATCAAAATTAAACTGAATAAAATTAAGGAAAAATTACGGAAATGAATCTAATATTACTAAAATTTATTATAAAAGGCCATAAAAGTTAAATTTAGAATGAAATACCAAAGTATGTGTAACTAACTATCATCATCTTATTACAAAATCTACCAGCCTTAAAGTTAACATGCGACACAGTCCAAATTACAAAAATATTCTTTTTTAAAAAAATGTAAGATTTTCGATTTCATAGTAGTTCACACCCGAAAATAAAAAGTAGTCTTTAATTTAATTAAAACAATACAGTCTTCAAAATATTTGCTTTTGAATAATTGAATCAATATAATTTTTAAAAATATTTACTTTTAAATGATTATTCAATTTTGTCAAGAATGCGCTATCTCAATCTCTTTATCAGTAAATTTTTAAGAGAGATGAGATTATTAACTTGCTGTGGTTGACATTGATTTAACTTTGTTTTAATTTTATGCTTTACATCTCCTTATTATATAAAAAATTAATTTTCTCTCAAATATTCTGTTTTTATTAGTAATTGTCGAATACAGCATGTGAGACATGATTAGAAAGACATCGGAGACATAATTAGGGACAGTATTTTTAAAATTATATTGTGATATTTGGTTTTTTTAAATAATAATTTTTAAAATCCTTTCCAATAAATATTATTTTTTTAAGTCTTTCTTTATAACTTTTCGAACGCAGACGGTAAACCTGTCCAATTTTGTCACGCGCAATCAATCTGGTTAGCTTTTTAATTTGGCGCACTTTTTTGGCCAAAAAAAAAAATGGGCGCCCTCTGAGTTGGTTTAGTTTCAGTTAAATTTTGATCGATTTAATTTGACCGATTAACAGCAATTCCCACGCTTAGATTTGTTTTTTATTGTTTCAGTTTTTTATTTTTTTAATGCTTGTTAAATATCATTCCCTCCTCTTTTTTAATTTATAAAATATTTTTAATAAAATCACACGTAATAATAAATCTCATTAAATACATTTTACAATCTTATTTTTTTAAAACAAAAATATAAATTTTTAAAAAATATCTTTTATTTAGTATTTCATTTGTGGAAAGCATTAAAATAAAATAATATAATGAAATGGTGATGATGAAAAAATATTATCAATGAAACCTTATTTTATCAGTATCTTGTATTTTAAGGTGTTAAATCTCTTTTAAAAATATCTTACAAACTAAGATGTATTATTAATAATGTTAAATTTAATATGATCGACTTAAAAGTTAAAACCAATTAATATTGATTTTTTTCTTATAAGCCATGAAAGTTAAATTTAACTATTGAGATTAATGCCATAGTCATCACAATGGTTATCACTGTGAATTGCCTAGGTGAATTAAAATGACCAAGATTGCGATGGCAGTGACTTGGAGTTAGAAAATGAGGTAAGCCCATTTAATTGAAGGGTTTTACTTGCATTGGTATGTCAACATTTAATTGGATTTAAATGTACAGGTTCTAATGGGCTTAAAAAAATAAATAGCATGTCTGTTTATAATTGTTTCACATAAAAAATTTGGTTACCTATTCATATCACAAGACAAGGGCTCTTGATTTCTCATCTTTTATTTGCAGATGGTCTTCTACTCTTTGGAGAAGCCACTGAACAATAAGCAAATATTATGATGAATTATCTTAATGCCTTTTGTAAAGCTTACGGAGAGAATATTAATAAGTCCAAATCCTCACTATTTTTTTCCAAGAATATGAGTTCTGCCCTCAAAGGAAAAAATAAAGAGGATACCAAGAATGAAGGTCTGCCCTCACCAAGAATGAAGGTCTCTACGGGTAGATATCTCGATTTTCCTTTATCTGATGAAAGGAAGACAATAGAAAAATTTTAATATAGTGTTGATAGAGTCAGATCAAAGCTTGCTAATTGAAAATCTAATTGCCTTTTTATTGCTAGACATACGGTGCTTGCTAAGTCTATATTAAGTACAGTGTCTCTCTATCCTATGTAGGTTGCTAGAATTCCAACAACTATCTATAATGAAATTGAAAGACTCTAAAGAAATTTTATTTGGCTTGATACAGCCTCAAAAGGCTTCCGCCCATTAAGTTGGAATCGAATCACACTTCCTAAAGCCCATAAAGGACTTGGCACCAAATTAGCGTGGAGATTAGCCACGGGTTCTGCTAGTCTATAGGCTGATCTTTTTGTAGAAAAAGTACATGTTTAGATCTCAAAAAGATTTACTAGAAGCTAAAGCTTATGATTCACCAACCTGAAAGTTTATATGCCAACACAGGGACTTGGTGGGTGGAATTAGGTGGCAACTTCATAATGGATAGTCAATTAAGTTCTTTGAAGGTTGTTGGCCATTTCCTGATAAAAAGATTGAAGACCTAGTGTTGCACCTACTTTTTAAAGAAGAGACAGGGTCTAAAGTTGTTGACTGGACATGCTTAGAAGTGTGGGATTTCATCTTATTAACTCTCTCTCATCTGCCGGTCATGATTTCACAATGTGGAATAGAACTACCAATGGTTCTTTCTCCACCAAGAGTGATTACTTTATGATTGAAAAACCACCTTCAAGTTTCCTAGACCCAATGTTTAAAATTATTTGGAAATGGAAAGGGATTAAGAGAATTCGTGTATTCCCGTGGCTTGCTTATCATGACAGGTTACCCGCTAGTTAATAAAAAAGTTTATAGGCTGGTTGTTCTCCTTCATGTAACTGGTGTGAACTCGAGGATATAGATATGCTTCATATCAATAAGGACTACTATTATGCAAAAAAAATTTGGTGTGAGTGGGTTCCAACTAAACTTCAACAAATCTTTCTCTCTCTCAATCTTAAGGAGTAGATGACTTGAAATTTTAAACCGCCCATTAGTGTTGGATTATCTTCTACTTGGAATCTTCTGTGAGGTGTGACCATTTGGAAATTGTGGAAATGGAGAAATTGCTCTATCTTTCAATATAATTTCCTCAAACCTATTAACCCTGTGGATGTTGTGATAAATTCATGGCAATCCTTTGTCACACAAGATAAATCTCTTTTGGGTAATAGTGATGTTAAGTTTGGCGATATGCGTTGGAGACCACCCCTAAGGATTGGGTGAAATTCAATACAGACAGTGCTGCGTCATTTACCTTAGGCAAGGCAGAGTGCGGTGGTGTCTCAAGACACAGTGCAAGCGTTTGGATTGCAGGCTTTTCCTTTTCCCTCAGTATTTGCTCCCCTTTCAAAGTTGATGAATGGGCCATGCTTAAAAGCTTTAGGTTAGCCTGGGATATGAGCTTTAAGAAGATTATAGTTGAATTTGATTGCAAGAACTTGGTGGATTTACTCAATGGAGAGTCTACAGGTACACTTAATGGAAGTCTAGTTCTGTTGGAAATGAAGAGCCTTCTTTAGTATGGCTAACATATGTAGATCAATTTTACTCCTTGAAAGACGAACATGGTTGCGGACTCTCTAATTGATGAAGGAATTGCAATTTCTTCTCTATTTGATTTAGCTCCCTTTTTCTTAAGCGATATTGTGTTTAAAGATTGTATGGGACTCTAGTTCATTTGTGTTATTGGTGTTTAATCTCTTGTAATTCGGGCTTCGCCTTGTTTTTAACAAAAAAAATAGAATGAATGAGGAGGAAGAGAATTCAAATAAGAAAAGAAATATTACAAAAATAGAAAAAAAATCCTAACTTGAATTTTTAAAAAATATTGATATTTTTGCCATTGAAAAATTAACTTATAATGAAGTATAATCAAATATTGTTGAAATTGAAGATGACAATGATCATGGTTACGCTTTTAATACTCTAGTATTATTGTTTTACCAGTACTTAGAGAATGTTTATTTAGTTTGTTTAGCTTTTTTTAGTTTGATTTTGGAAATATGAACAATGATTGTGTATTTTAATGAATTGAAAATCTAATTTATTTTAATTTCATATATTTAATTTTAAAAAATTTAAAAAGGTTCAAAGCCCTTAAGGCTAGCCTTGAACCTGCGAACTCTAAAGTGAGATTTTACAAATTAAGGCCTCAAAGTAAAAATAAAGTTTTTAAGCTTAACTTTTATATACCCGAACTTGTTAAGAGTTAGTTTCTTAGAGTCCGGCTGGCTTATTTTTTCAATTATAGCCGCGACTCACCATGCTAACTTGACTCTTGCTTTTTTTTGCCCACGACTTGTGTAACATCCTAATTTAAATTTTAATAGTTAATTTAGGTTAATAGAAATTTTTAAAAAAATATATATTTAGAGGTAAGAAAATTAGTAGAAAATGATTATTAAATCTAATTTAGGATATAATTCTAAATTAAAAAAAATTATTATTAAATTATTATTATAATAAAAAAAAGGGGAAAAGGTATGCCAAAAAAAAAGGAAGAATAAGAGAAAACGAATTTGCTTTCGGCGCCGCATGAATAGTAAATATAAAATAATAAAAAAAAAATGTGTGGGACCCACTGAATTTTTATAAAAACTCACCTTCATTCATTTCCTCATTCATTCCTGCGCGCGAGCTGAGGCGGAGAGAACGCGAGTCACCGGTGCGAAATATCTAAAATTTTTAGTGTAAGAGTTTTTAATAGGATATTTAGGGTGTGATTTTAAGCTTTTCAAGACTAAGTAAGTGTTCTAAAAATTTTTCTTAGTCATCCTTCTTCTTTGGTTTCTGAGTTTGTAGTGGTAAAAAATTTAAGATCTGGAAGAGGGATGAATTTATGTTGAATAAATATAGTTTTTGAGGTTGTCAGTAGTATAATAAATGTTATAGAGTATAAATTTGTTAATGATCTTTGAATTTATGGCTTATGGATCAAATTCTAAACTAGATCTAAAATATA